ATAAACGATTCATAATATTAATACTTTTTTCTTCGAGATCTCGTATGTTTGTATCAGCATTTGCATTGAGTAATGTTTGTACAGCTTCGATAAAACCGCGTTTAGCAGCATGCATTAACGGTGTTTGACGCTAGAAAAAACTGTAGTAATACTTTATTCGACAAATACACGCATCATTCACACCTTAAAATCAGTAATATCTGGGTGTGCATGAAGATCAAGAAGAAATTGTATCATAATTTCATCATTTCTCTTTACAGCAACTAATAACGGTGTTTCACCTGTAATATATAACAATAAAATCATCTCAGTATTTATTCATACTCATATATGGTTACCATCAGTTGGATCATTATAATTTATTATTCCATTTAGCCCTTTTTCACAAATACGTCGTATGTGATCATAGTTCGATGTTCGTACAGCATGTAGAAGTTTTTTAATTTGTGCTAATTCAACTGCAGTATGTGCAATGACCATAATCAAAATAGATAAAGAATGAACGCGCGCAAGTTATATTCTATTATAATCTTACCTGCGAGTAAGAAATGACATTGATTCTGTATTAATTATGTTAAGATTTTATAATGACTAAAATTTATTCTAGCCTATTTTTGAACAAAAAAAATCCATCTTAATAAAAAAAGCCCGTCACCAAAGGATTAATAACTGTAAATGTTAGTTATTTACAAAAAAAAACTGAATTGCGAATACACTTCATATTTGCGAAAAGAATTTATAATATAAATGTTTTTGATTGATTTTGCGTGTAATTGTTGCAGCTGGTACACGAAAAATCAAGCCAAACTATATTCTGTCTCAACCACTACAATCACTATTGAGACTAAGAGTACCAAGCGTAAGAGCGCCAAGAAGACCAGTAACACAAGTGCCAGCGTCACAATAACGAAGAGCATTACCATTTTGGCTATCAAGACAAGCAATACAAACAGTAGTAGGACAACAAGTAAGAATACTGCAAGGAGGTGGGGCTAAAATAAAAAAAAAAGTATTAATGGATAAATATCATAAGAACCACAACACTAAACATCGATCATGATCGATCGTAAATCTGAAATGCACTATCCATAAAAGTGTCAACGAAAAGAAACAATGCTATCATTTGGGAATTTTAATTAATGGAACTATCTGTCACCAGCTCAAACCCGAAACAACTAGATCTTAAGAAGCAAAGTGAGATAAAATTATTCGATAGCACTTGTTCTTATCTACGCTAGTCTAGAATAATTCACGTACACAGAATACTCAAAGTAATCGAATATTCATACTCATAATTCAAGCTCTTCATTCTAAACACAACTCACTATTTACTTTCTATACTGAAAACCTTATATGATCTATCACCCAGTTCGACACTATTGCATATAATTTTAGACTACTCACAACCTCATACAAACATACAACTCAAGCAATCGCCATTTCACAAAACCGCAACGATCTTATCTTCTCGTCCGCAGCCTACGGCTACTTACTTGTGCATGGACCGCCGGTAATATCACCGCCATAAAGGCAATGTATGCATGTATAACCATTACTGTGATCAGCTTTTGCCTGACAAGTGCCACCACCATTTGCTGAATTGCAGTTAATCGAATTGACAGTACACGGATTACCTATAGAAGAAAATGTTATTCTGTCTTGAACAGAGTATTCCCACTTACCTGGACACGATCCATCGGACACGTCAGCACCGTAAGTAC